GGCAACCCATGAAGTCGGAAGATGGTGTCAATAAAGACACAAGCACAGCCACTTGCCGTGATTGTCTCTGGTACAGCCACAAGGTGTACCATTTTGCTGAATCTGTCAACAAATACGAGAATACCCGTATTGCCGCGTGCGTCTTTGGGTAACCCGAAGACGAAATCCATTGAGATGGATTCCCAGCACTCAGCCGGAACCGGTAGAGGCTGTAAAGGTGCACGCAGTGAAGGACTTGACTTCACTCGTTGGCAGACTTCGCATGCGCGAACATACTTTCGCACAAACTGATACTGGCGGGGCCAGTAAAAGTCTCGACTTACCGTGAGATATGTTTTCTCTCGGCCACGATGTCCTCCTATAGGAGCATCGTGATACTCGAACATGATCCGCAAACGCAGATCAGTATCATCTGGAATGACAACACGTGGTGTGTCACCAGAAACGGCTGTATAATACAGTAAACCGTTACGAGTAGTGTATCGATCTGATGCAGATCGATACGCAGACGACAATCGTTTCAACGATTCTCGAGATGGTTGGGAGAGATGTGACAACAACTTCACTATCTCACCATCTTGGGCGTATGCCCGCCTCACATCATCATACAACGTTGTAGATGGAACTGAGGACGTCATAACCGCAACAGTGACTGTCTCACTGTTGGGTTTCGCGACTGTTTCAAAGTCGGGACGACGTGAGAGTGCATCAGCGACGACATTAAGTCGTCCTGATTTGTACTCGACCGTAAAGTTGTATTCTGCAAAGAATGACAACCACCGCGCCATTCGTTGTGAAAGGTGCGGGCTGTTCACTGCCGTGCGTAAGGACGCATGGTCAGTGTAAACAACGAAGGGTCTATCTCCTAATAGATAGACTCTGAACTTAGCGAGTGCATACTTCATGGCAAGGAGTTCCTTGTCATGCACTGGATAGTTCCGCTCAGCTGGTTGCAGCTGACGCGACTGATAGCAGACGACGCGTTCAACGCCTTCAAGGTCGTACTGCATTAATGCACAGCCGATTGCGAAATCGCTGGCATCACAGACCACATGAAATGGCCTGTCCTGATCGGCTATTGCTAGGACTGGGGATTGTATCAAGCTCTGCTTGATACCCTCAAAGGAGCGTTGACATTCAGCGTTCCATAACCACCTCTCGTTCTTTTTCAACAAACGAGAGAGGTGCACAGTCATCTCGGCGTAATTGCGTGAATACTTATGCAAATACGCCGCTAGCCCAAGGAATTTTCGAAGACCTTTGACATCGACCGGCACAGGCCAGTCGGTGATCGCCTTGATCTTTTCGGGATCAGGACGTACACCGTTCTTACCAACGATGCACCCAAGAAGTGGTATTTCGCTTGCTGCAAATATACACTTCTTGAGGTTTGCATACAATTGATGCTTTCGCATGATTGTAAGAACTTGTCGGACGTGGTACTTGTGAACCTCAACGTCCGACTTTCCATCCATAGCTCGACTATGGATGAATACGTCATCGAAATAACTCGGCGCGAATTCTCGTACTGGCCTCAACAGATGTGATACACACCTGTTGAACGTGGCAGGGGCATTACTGAGCCCTTGTGGCATTACTAGCCATTCCCAGAGCATGCCGCTAGGCGTGCTAACTGCGGTATAGGGTATATCCCGTTCCCGCATTAGGATTTGATAGAAGCCATCCATCAAATCCATGGACGAAAAGATGGTACTCTTTGACATACCATCAATGATTACGTCCTTCCTCGGTATCGGCGTCTGAGCCGGTACCGTTGCAGCGTTCAATTTGTTAAACGCGTGCACTATCCGCCACCCTCCTGTTGCTTTTCGCACACAGAAGGTCGGAGAGCTATGTGGGGAAGTTGATTCCCTCACATGGCCCGCTGCTAAACGATCGGCAAAGAACTTGTCGATCGCAAGTACTTGTTCACGAGGCAGTGGCCACTGCTTCATGACACAGTACTTCGAGCCTGGTTTAAGCTCGACTTCGTGTCGAATACCTTTATCCTTCGGTAATTCGCACGGAACAGTTTCAGGGAATACATCCTTGAATTCAACCAAATCCTCATAGAGAGGGTTTTCCTTGAGCGATTCCCATGATTGGGACTCATATCGCTCAATTCGTGTCTTTTCATCTAGGACACTCTCGTCCATAGATGAACTACTGAGAACTCTCTCGTTCTCAGTAAACACTGTTGCTGACCTTATGTCGGTTACATACTCGTCGTCAGCGACGAGTATGCAGATCTGCTTGACTTTGCCACTACGCAGATCACGCAAGAACCTTTTATGTTCGAGCGTTGGCAACTGAGTGATCTCCGAAGTTAACTTCGGAGGCGCAATCAGATCAAGTGTATAAGCGCCTACACATGATCCGTTATTGACTATGACATTCAATGTCTCTGTCATTTCCTGGGGGCTTATTCCCTCAGGCTTCGAAGGACTTATTCCTTCGTCTTCCCGGGGACTTATTCCCGCGGGTTTCGGGGAACTTATTTCCGCCGTATTTGTAATCTTGGGACTTATTCCCTTTACTTCCTCTAGCTGGGGTTGCGCAACCACAGCGAGATCCTCTACGAAAGACTCTCCAGTCGATCTAGGATTATCGTTTCGCTTAACCTGAGCGATCGATTGTTTCTCTTCTAGATGTTCCCCTCTAGGGATACATCTTTGTCCCAGTCCACCCGACTTATTCGAGTGGTGGACCTTCGGCGCAGCCTGTGTTTCCTCACAGCCGCCGGAACTTTGCTCCGAAGTGTAACCGTTTGGTACACTAAGGTTTTGTGCAGTCGTACTAACGACCGTACCACAAGTGAGGCCATCGCACTCACTCGTAGTACATCCACACGCTTGTGGACGCTCCAAAACGTTCATCAGATGGCCATCTGATGAACAAGCGGCAGGCATTGTTACTGTTCGATGTTGCCAGTTTACCCGTGGTTCGTACCTTCTGAGCCACGGTATTCCAAGGATGACATCAAATTTGTCATCCAAATCCAATACGATAAAGTCATCGTCGTATTGGGTATCTTCTAGCGTATAGTGGATCTTCACTATACGCTTCATGACGGTTACGGATGCGCCTGTCGCAAGACGTACCGTCATCCTCGTAGGAGGTGTGTCACATTCACTGAATTTAAAGTGACCATCTTCTAGCGATTGGCGTCGCACAAAATTGTTGGACGCCCCACAATCGACTAGAGCTCGAAGGGACAACTTATTCGTCACTTCGAGTTTCAAGGTAATGAGTGAGATCTCATTACCTAGAGCAGCAACGCACAATGTCTGTGTGTTGGGAGCAACCTTCATCAAGAGGCCTACAAATTCTCTTGACGTTGCTGGATCAGTAGGGTGCTCCGCACCTACTGATCCTGTCCGTTTTTTGACGGTCCATCCCGTTGTTGCGTCTTTGCACCAACTGCGGACCCTCGTCCCTGCCCCTTTCTCATGGGTGGACGGTCACTACGCCCAGTGTCGCGAGACACTGGACGAGGGGCACTACACTCGTAAGCGTAGTGTCCTGTCTTTTGACATCTGTTGCATCTCTGCAACTTCTTGTAGCCTGTAGAGCGAGCCTTCTCGCTCTCTACATAACAGAGTTCCATCGGCTCTGGACCTCCGTTGTCATATCGTCTCGGTTGACGATATGATGTCGAGCTGGCGCGAGCCTGTCTCAGACTGAAGTCTTCCTGCTCCGCAATTGAAATGGCTTGTTCTAGTGAATCTAGTTCAAGCCGGAACAGGTGAGTCTTGACGGGACCATCCGCAAGACCCTGCATGAACACCGAAACCAACGTGTGTTCATCCACCGGATTGGAACTTATACAACTCGTGAGATGTCGTATATGTTGAGCGTAAGCGTGCACATCACGCTTACCCTGCTTGAGCTTCAAGAGTTCGGTTCGAGCTCTGAACTCAGCTCTAGGCGGTTCAAACGTTTGTCTGAGCCGCGACTTGAAGACTTCCAACGACCCAAACGCGTATGGGTCGTGCAGCTTGAGCCCCAGTGCCCAAGTCTTGGCACGTCCTGCCAGATTTGACTGGGCAAATGCAACTTGCATATCCCCGTCGTCGATGCGACGCGCCCTTATGGCGTCATCCAATTCGACGAACCATCTCAAGAGGGAGTCTTCTTCGACCCCTCTATACTTTGAGATGTCAATCTTCAAAGTCTCGGGCCGACGCGAGTGCATCGACCCGCCAGCAGCAGCCTGCTGCTGTCTCAACAGTTCAAACTGTTGAGCACCTTGTTCTCTCAACAACTCTGCTTGTTGAGAACCTTGTTGGTGAAGCAAGGCTACTTTCTCGCGTTCTGCGTCAAGTTCATTTTGAATGAACTTGGCGATAGTAGCATGTTGGGCATCTCTATTGAGAGCCTCTAGCATGACGCTAACAGCATGGATGCCCATGGTCGAACCCATTCGTTCAACCGCATCCCATTCGACATCGCTCAAATGGGAGTAGCCGTCACGCGTAGCGTGAAAGCTTTGGTCATCTTCATCATCCAACATATTCATGTTGGATGTGAACGCGGTCCTTGGACGGACTACGAAGTGCTACCAGGTGTAACGGGGCACCCTGAAGCTTGTACTGGTGACAGTACAAGCTACTTATTCTGATAACAGAATAAGGCGGTGCCTCGTAACTTCACGTACACTCGTACGTGCAGAGGAAGACGGTAAGAAGAAGCGAGTACTCGGTTAGAGTAAAAAGTAGAACTGTATTTATAATAGTTAATGTCTGCAATAAATCACTATTTATCTTCATCTAACTATGTCTAAATACAAATGTGTAAATCAGTTATCTGCTCACCACTCATTGCGTGCGTCTGTCGTGGCGCGTCTTCGTTGGTTGATATAATGGCCTATATCAACCAATTAGGAACTACTTGGAAGTGCTACAGAATATTGTCCTTATGACAATATTCTGAGAATATAACTCTTATAGTTATATTCTATTAACAATTTCTTATAAATTGTTATGTAACGATTCACCCCGTTACATCTTGGATCCTAGCGCCTTGGTCAGTATGTCGGCCAATTGATGTTTGGTGTCCACATACGCTACCGCAACCGTCCCGTCTTCGATCGTCTCTCTGATGAAGTGATGACGGATGTCCACATGCTTGGTCCGAGCATGATAACCAGCGTTTTGGGCCAAAGCAATCGCTCCTTGATTGTCCTCCCATATCTGGGTAGCGTTCATTTGTACCATTCCCATGTCCGTCATTATCGCACGCGTCCATAGCACTTCCTGAACGCATAGGCTTAAAGCCATATACTCAGCTTCCGCTGAGCTGAGGGCAACCGTTCGTTGGAACTTAGATTTGAACACCACCGGAGCGTTCCCAATCATGATCATAACCCCCGAGACAGAACGCCTGTCGTCGAGGTTGGAACCCCAGTCCGCATCCGAGTAGGCTTCAGCTGTGAAGCTGCCAGTACCACCTTTGTAGATGATCCCGTGCTGGCGAGTCGTCTTTAAGTAGCGTAGAACACGTATAGCAGCGTTCCAATGCTGCGCCCCGGGATTCTCCAGGAAACGAGAAAGTTGCGTTACCACGAATGAAATGTCCGGGCGAGTACACGTCGTGATATACAGTAGGCATCCAATTAAGGAGCGGTACGGTCTCGATTGCATCTTTCTTCGCTCTTCATCCGTTGCTGGCGATTGCGACTTTGACAACTTAAGACCAGTTGCACACGGGTTGTCAACCGACTTAGCGTTCTCTTGCCCGAACCGTTTCGCCACATCATCGATGTATCGCGTTTGCTTAATCATAAGCGTTCCAGCAGTCATGTTATGGTCGATCTCCATTCCCAGGATAAATTTCGCCGGTCCAAACTCCTTCATCTTAAAGACACTCTTGAGTGCGTTTTTCACGTCATCAATTTCATCACTAGTCTTCGCCGCAATGATCATATCATCTACGTAAAGACAGACGTAAATGAAATTGCTCTTGGAACGCTTGACATAGACGCACTGGTCCGCACCACAGCTCTTGAATCCGTACCCAAGAAATACCCGATGAATGGTCTTTTTCCAGGCACTTGCAGCTTGCTTCAGTCCATAGATGGCCTTGTTCAGCTGGCACACATAGTTCTGAGCGTTCTCAACGCCAATTGGTACCTCCATGTAGACACGGTCCTCCAACTCACTGTTGAGGAACGCTGTGTCAGCGTCCAACTGTTCCATCTGGTACGCGAAAGCAGCGCAGACTGAGAGCACAACTCGAATCGAGTTCATGTTCGCCACAAGAGAGTACGTTTCAAAAAAATCCACTCCGTACTTCTGCTTGAAATCCTTCACCACCAACCGCGATTTGAAGAGCACCACGCGACCGTTCTGGTCACGCTTCTTGGCGAACACCCATCTGCACCCAATGGTACGGATGGCCGTTCCTCGTGGAACTAATGTCCAGGTATCGTTCCGTTTATGAGAGAGCAGTTCAGCATCCATGGCTTCACGCCACTGTGTTGAATCTTCACTGGCAATTGCCTGAGCGTATGTTGTAGGAAGATCCACTGTGTCAATGCTTGCTGCGTACGCGAGGACGGCTTCAGCAATAAGGCCGTCTTCATCGATCCTGGCACGCTTCGGATAGGACGGTCCATCTCTTCCTTCCGACTTCCGTTCTTCCTCTGCGTCCGTTCCCTCTTCAAGAAGGAAGACTGGTTCCCGGGAACTTCTAAAACGGTCTCTAGGGGTATGGAACACCACTTGATCGTCCTCGAAGATAGTCGGTGGTCCACGGTACGGTTCCAACTCAAATCCAGTGGGAGCTGACCGTTCTTGTGGCATCAGCAGCGGCGGTATAGCGTCCTGTATCGGTTGCATGCTCTCCATCTCTACATCCGGTGCTTCGTTCTCAACGCCTTCCATGGGTTACGCTTCGACGGGTTGAAGTTCCACTGGTGCGAGCGTGACTTCATCATCGGCGTCTGTGCTAACATGAATAACTGTTTCGATCTGAGCAGGTAGTGTATCGTAAATACCATCTACCTCACGCTCGTCCAATTTCACCGAGCGAGAAACTTTGACCTTGGAAGCGTCCAAGTCATAGACACGGTAACCCTTGACGTTTTCTGGGTATCCGAGCAGCAGACATCTAAAGCTCTTAGGTTCAAGCTTCGTCCTCTTCGCTTCGTCAATGTGAGCGTACCCGCGAGAACCAAATACGCGTAGGTGATCTAGCGTAGATTTCACTTTGAAACCTAGCTCAAACGGTGTTACGGTTGCGTTGTGCGTGTTCGTGGAACGGTTGATTAGATATACCGCAGTACTAACTGCTTCAGCCCACCACTCCATTGGAACGCCCTTGTAGTATAGCATACTTCGAGATCTCTCCATGATAGTTCGGTTCATCCGTTCTGCCACTCCATTCTGCTGAGGGCTATACGGGACAGTTCGTTGGTGCACGATACCGTTCAGCATACATATCTTCGTCATCTCTTGGTTGATAAACTCCGTTCCGTTATCCGATCGTAAACACTTCATGCGCTCTCCCCATTGATTCTCATAGAAAGTCATGAACTCTCTAAGCTTAATGGCCACCTCGCTCTTCTTTTTCAAGAAATAGGCCACAACGTAGCGCGAGTAGTCGTCCACGAACGTCAGGACATACTTGGCACCACCTTTCGAAGGATTATTCATTGGTCCCATCATATCCGTGTGGACGAGCTCAAGAACGCGCGACGTCTTCGAGCTGGAACAATGCGGAAATTTAGCCACCGTTTGCTTCCCCTTCATGCATCCGCCGCACAAAGACTGGGGCGGTTGACCAACAGCCGGAATACCGTTCGTGGCATGCCTTGTCTTATCCAGAGCATCCTGGTTGGGATGCCCCATGCGAGCGTGCCAAAGCTCCCACTTGCTGTCAGCCCCGGCGTACTGGACGAACCGAGCTTCTTCTTGTTCACAGTCTAACATGTAAGCCTTGCCGACCTTCTTACCCTTCGCTATTGCGCTAGCCGCTCCCCATATAACACATGAGGAACGCTGAAACTCCACGTTCAGTCCACGATCCGCGAGCTTCCCCACTGACAACAGACGCCGATCGAGGCCCGGTATGTGAAGAACTTCAACCATCTTAATCCGTTTACCGTCCAGTCCAAGCAAGCGTACCGTACCACGTCCAGTGACCTGCAGCTTCTTTCCGTCAGCGATTGTCACTTCGATGCCACCATTCACGTTCTCATACTCGAACAGATCGGAACGGTGCGGGGTCATGTGGGCGGTCTCGCCGCTGTCGATCAACCATCCGTTTACACGTTCTGTGCTCACAACAAATACCGCATCGCCGTCTGTTGTTCCCTCTTGACAGTCCCGCTTCATTTGCCCAACTTTGTTGCACTTGAAACACTTGCCTTGGAAACCACTAGAGTTCTTCTTCTGATCGCTCCACTTGCGACCACTCCTCTTGTTGCCCTTGAAACGTCCAGCGTTGACCTTAAATGCTCGTTCCGAAGTCGTGTCTTTCTTCTCCAACCGTTCACACTCCTTCAACAGCTTCTCTTTCACCTCGATGAGCGTGATGTCCTTGACGTTCTCGATGATCGACGATATCAGCTCGTATTCGGCTGGAAGGCTGCTCAGCAGCACTACTAGCTGCCGTGCCTCGTCGACGGGCTCTCCAAGCGTCTGAAGACCGACAACGAGCTCGTCAAAAGCGTCCAAATGCTTTGCCATGGCCGTTCCAGCATCCATCTTGAATTCGTGGAGGCGCCGTGTCATCGTGACCCGATTGTGGAGTGTAGTGCGATTGTAGAACTCCCTAAGTGTTACCCACGCTTGGATAGCACGCGTCGACGAACGGATCTTTGTCTGGTGTTGTAGTTCCACACCCTGCGCGATGATGCCGAGAGCCTTTGCGTCATTTACCAACCAAGCTTCCGTTATCTCACTCTCCGCCTTGACCACCTCCACGTGCGCCAGCAGTCCTTTTCTGGCGAGCGACATCCTCATATTGAACTCCCAATGGAAATAATTTCCACTTCCTAGGAGGACTTCGGCGCGCTTGGTACTCATCATGTGCGAGGCGAGGCGTTCTTGGTCTTGACGCCGCTGTCCGAGTTGCGGCTGTTAACCTGTTGGGGTAGTTGGATGTAAAAGCCGAAGTGAATATATTTAAGGTCCTTAGTTCACTACCCTTAGCTAAGTCTAAGCCTTAATGTAACGACATCCTGTGATCTCATCATGTAACCGCGATCCATAACCTTCTTCCGTAATAACCACCATGAAACACCCTGACACAGAAATCATCACCATGAACCCAACATGAAACGACTGCACGAAGCGGCATATTCTCAACAAGAACGAGTGAGAAAGTGGTACAAATCGTTCGTTGAAGGATGTAAGCTGGCAGCGACGCTTGACTTCATTGTTTGATGCCAAAGCAACTGGAAAGTAGTTGCCAGCATAGCTGGGTTTACCATCCGTAAATACAACCGGCTTGTCCTGCACGTAATGTACGGTCTACAATCTCTATTTGCGCCCATTCCCACACGTATGCCCAAACTTGCTCAGCATTTATCCGTCAAAAAAAAGCTCTCTTTCCAATGTGAAGACGGAAGGCTAGCGTTCATCCACCAGCCCTGTAATGAAACTCGTGCTCCTCATCACGTCATCTTGGACCAAAGAACGAATCTCATAGCTTTGTTGGGGTATGGATGCATTCCTGCACCTTTATATCCATCGCTACTTGCTCGATCATGCTCTCAAACCGAATCAATGATGCTTAGATACCTCTCGGACGTTGACGGTGCAAATCGATCGGCACCACATGCCTGAAATCGACCCTACTTGAGTCGCTCACTGCCTGTATTGGAATAGATCAACCAAGCCGCATGAACGATTACCCCTATACTTTTTAAAAGTGCCAAATGAATCAGCATGCTTCGCGAGTAAGTCGAACGGTCCAGTTTTAGGTATTCAGTTGTTTCTACACGACGTGATATTGGCAGATGGCGTTACATGACAGTGCAGCTGTTTTGAACGTTTTCGTCTGTCGGAGACGAGAATAAGTTCAAAGTCGACTCTATACATGCGACAGTATCAAGCTCCAGCTTTCTGACTTCAAACGACCATTTTACCGAATGGTGCTCTTCAAGCCATCGCTTTACTTGATGCCGCAACGGAGCCATTATTAACGGATCCGCACGTGACTCCGTATTCAGTTGTAAGCTTTGAGTCGGTCTGCGTTTATCCAAGCAACGCCAGATGGCAATACTTCGGCTCGTTCGTTTGTTGTGACGCTACCCAACTTCAAGAGAGATTGAACTGAAAGGCCACAGGAATTAGTACCAGTGTAAGAGCTACTTGCGTGCGGTTCAGCTGCCTGCTTTTCAGTTCTCACGATGCAGTTGTTTCGGAAAAATCATGGCACGTGCACACGGATTTACGTTGCACTGAAACTAAATACCTGACCAACGGTCTACCGCCTGGTTCAAGTAATGTAGCTATCGTCTCACCCGCAACTCTGAGGCACGATCTCGCGATCATCTAGTACGCAATCGAATCCCACTTTGACAATTGCGTTGATAACGCCACGCTGACATTTCGTCCAGCAGAGTCCACTAGTGAGTGCTCCAGGCTTCTGAACGATCACGTGTATACAGGCTATTATTGCTTTTACAGATGGAATTCACTCCGACAAGGAGCACTACTAGTCACGTTTGGATCGCCCCGACGCCTGTGGATGTAGAAGCACCGAAACAAAATGGGCTGATGGTCCCACCAAGTCGAAGGCTGTATGCAAATATCCTCGTCGTGGTACTGCAAGCGGTGCAATTCGGCTGGTCTACCTCTCAAATGAACAATTCGATCTTCAACAACGAGGTTGACTGCAATGCGAGACCAGTCGCACCCGGCACTTGCCTCATGTTCCCCGGTCATACGAAGACAGAGTGGACAGTTGCAGTCAGTTCCTGGATCGTTGGGGGTATGATTGGCAGTCTCTTGACCGGACGCGTCTCGAATAAGTTTGGACGCAAACCAACTATGATGGCGAACTGCATCTTCATGATTGTAGGAGCACTTGTGCAGGCAACTTCGAGTACTATCACAATTTTCACTATTGGACGAGTCTTTGCAGGCATCGCAGCGGGCGGCTCGACCGCTGTAATCCCCGGATTCATTGGCGAAATTTGTCCACCGCATCTTCGGAGCAAGTTGGGGGTGTGTTTCCAGATATCCATTACGCTCGGCCATCTTTTAGTTGCGATCACGTTCTTCTTTGCTAGCACAAGTTCCGGTTGGCGGTACATCGCAGCCTTTCCAACCGTGCTCGCGTTCTTATTCTTGGTGCTGGCACCGTTCGTCTTAGTGGAAAGTCCGGCGTGGTTATTAACGGTCGGGCAGCCAGTGCTCGCGGAAATGGAGTTCGCCCGTCTCTATGGTCCGGAAAACATCTTTTTAACGAAGAAGTGGATGGTGCAGGACGAGGTGGCTCCACGGGTGGGTATGGGCAGTGAGTATATCATGCCAATGCAAGACCTCGCAATGTCGATGTCAAAAGACTTGCGCAAGCAGCGCAATTTTACTAAACTGTTCTCACCCGCTATTATTCGACAGCTTTTGGTAGCGATTGGCGTGGCCGGGGCGCAGCAGCTTACGGGTGTCAATGCTGTGTTCTTCTATTCATCTGGTATATTCAAGCAAGCAGGACTCGCCGATGGTCGCATCGGTGTGTTGTTGGTCAATTTTGTAAACGTTCTGCCGACCTTGTTCTGTGGCCTGCTATCGGCACGTCTGGGTAACCGCAAACTTATCCTGTTTGGATTCGTGGGAATGTTCTTGAGTGCAGTCGGGATGACAGCTGCTCTGGTTGGACATGTGCCCACACTTGCTATCGTATTTACAGCTCTCTACGTGACTACGTTCGGTTCGAGTCTCGGACCTCTGGCATGGGGAGTAATGGCCGACCTTTTTCCAGACGATGTCCGAGCCATGGGATGCTCAATTTGCGTCGGGTGCAGCTGGTTATGTAGCCTTGCAGTGGGCGTTGGCTATCCGTACATTGCCGCTGCCTTTGGAAACTACAGCTTCGTGCCTTTCTTGTGCACGGTTACAATGGCGTTCCTCTTTGTACACAGCTTCGTTCCGGAGACCTATGGTAAGACCATACAGGAAATTCAGGATGAATTTATAGCGCGCAAGAGCCGCAAGTCATGTAGCAGTCAGATAGCTGTGCTTGGATGAATGACACGTAAATGTAATATAGGCGTAATAAGTTAACGTTTTTGCATGTGTCAAAGCTCAACGAAATGATGATTGGCACTTGCTACAGTTCCAGCAAATCAGTTTCCTAGCGATTGATGCCTGACCTTTACACATTAGTCACCACAACTCGTGTGCAAGGTGCTCCATTGTACATGTTATATCGGCGTTGGCTGGTCTCTTTACCACAAGTGTGCGCTTAGTTTTATGGCATCTCATACAGGAAAATAGGTACGCAAATTCTGGAAAACCCTACACGAGACCATGGAGCTATGTCTAACTCTGACAACGATATTGGTTAACCTCGGATCCGCGGCTTTCTGTTTATTTTTCGGTGGAACTGTGTCATTCGGATTTAGTTCAGTTTGGTCAGATAGACTTAGCGGTTGCAGCTAAGCAAGTTTTAACTGTTGGGAAATAGACGGTACCAGCGTACCGTCGCCGTCTATCGTATGTTTATCATCCATAATGTTGTCGCACGAACAGCTCAAGCATACCAAGTTTGTGTACGTTTGCTATCGCGTTGCATAGATAGCACGTGAACTTACAAACACATACTCGGCACAGCTGTTCGCCGTTTCGATGCCGCTGATGAGTGACAACTCCTTGCAAATCAATTTCGACGGCTCGATCTTCTAAAGGTATATGATTGACACGGTCACGGCGGAGCAAAGTCATATTCAAACGAAAGTCGCATTAGAGGTGGCGTTGCGAACTTGTTACAGGAGCCAGGACATTATAGTACAGAAAACAACGAGAGACACTTTCTCAATCGACCCTACTCGCGATATACAAGGTGTGATACCTTGGAACGTCAATTTGACACCTAGCGCGATTGAGCACAGAAGTCGGTAGTAGCTGGTGGGGATGGTTAGAATCAGTAATCATCTTACAAGCTCTACAGGTGTTGCTAGGGCGTCATGCGTGAGAAAGGCGAGCAAGCTCTGGGGATCGCGCTTTGATATTAGCTTAAAAGCCCAGAGTTCTAAATCCGATACATTTCGGATAGTTGGGGTCGGCGGCTGGTGATTGCGTTGTCCGATGAGGTAGAGAATCCACTGTGCTGCTGATATTTTGTATGGCGACGTAACTCGTTGATGCTGTCGATGTATTGAAGAGAACGATTGGAGAAAAGGGAAATGACTGCCGATTTTTCCAGCGACCCAACACCCATAACTGCGACCGATAACATGAAAATGATTGATGTGCTGGAGAGATGAAATTTAAAGAGCGCTCCTTTGCCGTCGAGCGAGTGGGGTGACCCTTATTATTTTCACCCTTTTTTTCTGATTTTATAATCTACTACGGATGAACACCATAACACTTTTTATTGTATCTTGAGTCTTTCATTCATGCCAGTTTCAACCACAGCATGCTTACTTGTCTTTAAAGTCTTGATTGACTAGAGTTCCTTCTTCCACTGCGCGCCTACAAACAGTGCAGAAAAGTAAAAACGTAGGAATTGAAATATTCGCATCCATTTACCTTGAATGCACACCCAAACTGTAAAGTCATTTTGCACCCTAATATCAAATACAGTTTTATTAGGCTTACATTCAATTTTAAGATTTGTTACTTCCCACACGAATAATGATAGGTTATCAACAAGATAGGGGAGCAAGCTCTGGAGCTCGCCCTTTGGTATAAGTAATCCAGTTCAGAGAAACTGAGTCAAGCTGCAAAAAACTAAACAGCAGCAGTCACCGAAGAATGAGTACGGTGCTGTTACTGTCTGTAGTAATTCAGTACAGTATGCTAGAGCGACGCGATCAGCCTTTGCTTACGAGCAGCCAGCATTTCCTAATGTGATCCCATTCACCTTTAGACCATTTTTAGCCAATCACAGGCGTGCGTCTCAATAGTGACCTAACCAAAGAGTGAATGCGTAAATGCCTGCATCCCTATGAGAAGAGACAGGCTAGATCGCACTTAGAACGGATAAGCTACACCTAACCGCGTTATTTACAGACACCCACAGATAAGCACGGTTTAAAAGCTCGACATTTGACCTTGCGCGTAGTCACTAATGGCTTCACCGTTCAGGCTACTCAACGAGCTGCTGCATTGTACGGACACATGAGCTTTTGACTGACCACTACTGGATTTAACGATTAGTCTTCAGTAGATAAGAGACCGAGAACATACCGTGCACGGGGTTGCAGCTCACAAGCTGCCTGCATTTCTAATTGTGCACGCTTTCGACCAAAATAGAATGCGCAACCGTCGGAAATACGCAATGAGCATGTGTCATGATATGCGCACACCTGCAGCTTTCTTACATCGTTCAACATGCAGTCGAAAGAGATCCCGTTAGTGCGTTGGTTTCGCGGCCCCTCCGCGAGAGTTGCCCAAGCTGAGCACAATGACGTTCTTGGCGTAACGAGTGCAGCAATGACTACGTAGTTACTTCGTTCATCCGAAATGTGAATTCCGAAAACGTGTTTGAATTTTTGTAGTCCATACTGCCTGTGAGCGGTGCGGAGGAGGACCGGAAGGACGTTACATGATTTTATGGGGGGTATCCGTAGCAGTTGTGGTGATGGGATTATCCTATTGTTATTGGATAAGAGCTTAAAAATATAGCAGAATTTTACATGGTATGTACTATAGATTTGTAGACTGCATGGCGATGATATCGATCCTGACGTTGTTTTACATACTCATAACCACCCCTTAGAATGTTACACGAATAGGCAAACCTAAACTACTGAACATTTCCTTTTATTGTATCACAGCCTTGATTACGAGACCCATTTCACATGGCGTTTGGAAATGTACTCCTGTCAAGCGAAACATATCATCGTTAAGGAAATGGATAAACGTACCGGTCGCAAGTAGGTCATTGTACCGGCGATTAATTCTTCGCTAATCGAAAGATATATTTTAAAATCAGAATGGGATGATCAGATTAGGATCGATCTAAGCAGATTCAGATATGACTTTACATCTGAATCTGATTAAATCGACCCTCTTCTGATCATACCATTCTAATTTTGATTTATCTATCTTACGTCGAATTTTTCATCATATTTGCTGGCGATTGCCGGCAGGCTGTGAGCTACTTGGCGAAAGTTGAGAGAGCACAGTATTTTGAACATGCATCCACAAAGCCGTAATACAGCAGATACGTATTGACGCAGTAACCCTCGAAGAGGCAAATTTGACTTGTTTCGTGCGTACATGTTCATGCAACATACCGTCATGTCCCTTTGAGCAATAACGAATACATCAATGTCATGAGTTCAGCTAAACAAGACAAACCCCACATCAAATCAGATCTATTTCTTGCGACGCAAGTCATACTCGGCCTGGATCTCCTCTGCTGTCTTGCCCGATGTCTCTGGCACGAGTTTCAGAGCCAGTAAAAAGAAGGTCAACAAGAGCGCCACGAACGGAACGAATGCATAGTCTCCTAGTGCAGCCGAAATGTACGGGTACGACACACCCACAACGAGGTTGCACAACCAGTTGATACCAATGCAAAGTGATGACGCGCTCGAGCGGATTGAATCCGGGAAAATGGCGGCCGTCATTACCCACACGAGTGGGCCCAGCGTCACACCGAACACGATCACGTACAACGCAATGAAAACAACCGACAGAGCCGACACATCAACAATGAGCGCGATCGTCATTCCGGCAGACATGACCACCATTCCAGATAGACCCCATAAGATCATGGTACGAGCTCCAAAGCGGTTGGCTAGTACACCAGTAAAGAAGGCGGGCCAGATGTTGATAAAGTCAATAATCAGTGTGCCCACCCGAGAGTCCGAGATACCAGCGTCCGAGAAAATACTACCAGAGTAGTAAAAGACGGCGTTGATACCTGATAGTTGAAGTGCACACGACAGCAGAATACCGCCAAGAAGCTGCATACGGTAGCGAGGTGCGAACATCGACTCTTTTTTGGGAGATGCAACGACCAAACCTTCCTCGGCGCTAGCCTTGCTTACCTCCAGCCACGACAATGCCGCCTGCACGTACTCCGCACCATAAAGTCGAGCAATGACTTGCTGTGCTTCTTCCTTGCGTCCTTTTGTCAAAAGCCACGCTGGGCTCTCCACGCATAATGAAGGGGCTAGCAGCAAGTAGATGACCGCCAGAACGACGGGGAACGCAGCCAGGTAACGCCAACCAGAGCTCGTGTCAGCAACGAAGAACAAAATGGCTGGGAACAGAATACCGAGTGTTATTGAGATCTGCAGACCCGCACCCAAAGTGTTCCACATATGCGGAGGTGACATTTCGTTTATGTAGCCGCCGATCGTAGCTGTAGCTGTTCCTGAGGCAATACCGGCAAGAAAACGGCCTAGAGCAAAGATCCAGATGTTTGACACCGATGCCATCACGACTCCGCCAGCTATCATAAAGGCACAGTTCCCCATGAGAGCTTTCTTGCGACCGTACTTGTCGCTGAAGTAACCGCAACACAGTGAGCCCATCATGGCACCGAAGATCCACGCATTCACAGCGAAGGTCCACTCTAGCTTTGAGTGACCCGGAAACATGAGGCATGTATCCTCGGCTACAGGACGGGCATTACAGTCATCCGCGTCGTTGTACCTCGATAGGTTCATCTGCGAGGTGGACCAACCGCTCTGGAACGACTGCAGCCACAAAAGTAGTGCACTCGTGTACAGTATAAATTTGGGCTTGATGAACCGGGCGGTGGCTTTGTTGACATCTTCAAAGGCTGTTATGGGCTTGGGAGAGGTAGCGTTGGTATAATTTTCGGTCATTCGTGCTTGCTAGGAGCGCCCTCGACTACGGTGACGCTTACTTGATAATCGATGGAACTTAGTATGAAAGGAATGCCGCGTGTGAAGCACTACGCGTTCAGAGGAAGCTCAAGAGAGGTATTTGAGCACTTTTACCGACTGGACAAACCACCACGGACCTCACTTCAGCGACAGCTATTTGAGTCGCACAGTCGTAGTTCTCGGAATAAAAACGGCTGAGCAAAAAGTATGGATCGACTTTCGAGTAAAGTCTCATGACGTTTTCTGATCGGACCGTTTGTATGGAGTATCTTTAAACGTCGCATAAACACCGGCCATCGGATATTTACCATGAATACAGTCATTTCTCGAAAACTCGCAGACTTGGCGAAGACAAAGGCTATGAATTAGCCGATTTATGAGTTATGCGAAGTTCCAATCTCTTTTGTGGAAAAGGCAGCAAATCAGCGGTTCCCCTGCTAAATTTCATGTAAGCATGGGCCGAGTGCTGTCATTAATGCACAAAGGCTCGTGATTTACCAGCACAAGGCCAAGAATTTAATAATGAGCCAAAGTGTTTTGACAAATTGGGCTTCTGGCAAGTCTGTAACGCAGATCACCCGACCGATTTATCTCACATAATCAAGAAGCATACGAATCTAGAATCTATGACAGATAACGGACCTCCGCCAAATTTCGAGAGGTGCTTGGAAGCCAAAGCTCGAGGAAGCCTCTACAAACGGGTGCTTCAATACCAAACAAGGAATGTTGCTCTGATCGGGGAAGTTATTGATGTCAAGGCCAGGTATTTTCTGGATGCCTTAGCCTGATTGAGGACACCATCAAACTCACCAGTGGATAGTCGCAACGGTTCCAGCAGCGCAACAAGATGCGCAGCATCAAGACTTACGGCAAGAGTGATTCGGTAGATGAGAAAGTCAAGGCTGCAACATTGCCTGGACTTCGGTCTCCAATTGCTCGCCATGAGCCCCAAGATGTTTTCATCATGAGCAAAAATGCATGAGGACTTTTTAAAATAATTTAAGCTGATGTTGTGCAATGCTGAAATGGTTTAGACTATTTACAATGTGGTTTTAGCGTAAAAAGCTCAATAGAAAGTGATTGAGGTTCACTTTTGGCTATCCCCACGCCCTCATACCGGTACCCTTCCTGTTGTAACACTAGGCAGAGGCTTGACCAAAAACTCGTTCACACGATGGAAAAATGGAAATAAATTCCACTTATCAAACTATGTCCGTGTACGCAACTGTAAACTCACTCTCTTACATTTGTTCGGATCTTCTAGAACCACTTCAAGAATAAGAGAACGTCTCCAGCAGCATCTTCCATATCAGATGAGCCATAGTTATCGCTCTTTCAGCAGACGGTAGTTCACCATCCATTATATGAATAGCCATAACCTTCTATGAAAACATACTAAGGGAATAAATACAATCACACCTCTTTTCCTTAAATTCACACCCTTTGTCAAACCTGACATTCACACCCTCCCGATTAAACCTAACATTCGTACCTTTTTGCCAACCCCTGTTACTGCACTCCTATTCGTCGTACTGTTTCTACACGTTTAACAGTCGGGATAGTTTCTAGACTATTTTTCGTACCTTCATTTCACACACTTCTCCGATTTCGTAGTTCTCTTGACAAGACTGCACCTTTCAGGGTCATATGAGATGAAAGTGAATACTTGTATGTCTGTGTCTGTTTGTGTAATATTGAAAGGAATGGTCATGCAAACGTAAACACGTCATCATCGAGGCCATCGCCTTGCAGTCTACTTATATATAGTACGCACCATATACAATTCTTGTACGGTTTGGAGGTTCTGTAACATAACAATAGAATAATCCCATATTCAAAACTGTTATGGATACTCTCCGCGGTTTTTGTAATGTCCTTCGAATACTTTTCTGCACTGCCCGAGTCAGTCTGTACTATACAATTGTAATAGTAGTCATTGAAATACGATTTCCGGAGGTACAAAGTAGCTGCAACGTCATTGCTGCACTCATTACACTATGTACGTCACGGGTATCAGCTTGGTCAACTCTTGAGGTGGGGACGTGGAACAAACGTATGATTGAGGTCTATTTTTACGTTTTAAATGATGTCAAAAAGCCGCAGGTATATTTATATTATCACACAAGCCCATGCGTATTTTTCGACGGTTGCAACATTAATTTGCTGTAAAAAGCATATACTATTATAGGTGCAGGCAACTTGCAAGATGCTACCGTATGAAAAGTATGCTGTCGGTCTCTCATTTGAAGCAGACACTTCTTTAATATCTAGAAATGGCCTATCAATAAAGCAGCATCATATACATACTGAACCGGAGCCTGAAAAATATGCCATTCTATATTGGCACCCCAAACTATATTCGGCTGTATGTAAAACAAATTTGTAGGTACATATTGACATTGTGATGTCCATTTTTATTCGCGTAGCGATATATAAATATATGAATTGAATTTAAACCTAAAGAAAACCAATGTTATGTATTAGGGTGCCAATATCGACCTATTAAATAAAATGTGTGAATTTAGATAAAAGGGATGTGTACATATCAATTCTCTGTTTAAGTTGGTGATAATGTGCCGTAAACAAAAATCACAATTTACTCTATCAGGGATCGGCCTTTAGTGCAACCAGTATCAACAAAATTGTTGTGATGGTAGTAGGATTCCTCAAATGGGGTGTGCATCAACAAAATTGTTGTGATGGTAGTAGGATTCCTTAAATGGGGGTATCGTCGTATTCATGGCTTATATGTGACATGCGTTATGCACTTCTCGTTATTCAAGCGAGGTGAAGTGAAATTTGTTTCGTTATTTTTGACAACAAAAGCGACCCAGTAGTGGCCAAGATGAATCTATGTACACGTGCTAAAATCATCTGATCGGTTAAGCCTGAACCGATTAAGTGTGCTGCATTTCCTTGGTTTCTGTCTGACGTATCCCTTTGTGGACTAGAAGCTCATGCAAATCTTCATGCATTGAGGCCAGTAAGGTAAGACTCGGTACCATGTAGCAATAACTATGAAATGAATTCGATGATGTCGCTTTTTAAGTACTTGCTAGCGCCCTTGTGTCACGGTTACACGCGTGTTGAGCATTCGAGCGTTATTACATCTGATTAAAAGGCTTTTTAAGGGTCCAGTTCTATCTATGTACGACCTATTCCATATCGCACGAAGCTAGCGTGAATGGTAGAAAGTGCCCGGCTTCCTTTCGAAGCAGTCAAGCCCCTAAATCGATCTGATTACCTTTTTGTCGCAGTAGCAGGAGGGCCAATGTAGTATGCTATATGGGTAAAAGATACTGATAGTTCTGTTCAAATGTTTTGCTACGCCAATTACCTCTCCCAGGGACTTAGACTCGACGATGGCCCGATCTGAAGTTCAATCAGAGCTTCACCGAATTTTTAATTACCCATTACATAAACAGGCTGTAGGTCTTGGTATCGTGTGCACACCTTGTCTCTAAGGTAATGCGTACAGCCACACACGCTTTTTAGGCAAGGTGAACCTGCGGCGTAAAGATGGTCATATTTATGCAAAGATGCGTATAAAACGCTCATTTTAAAGGTAAACTAAAAAAGGCGACATTGCGTTACGATGACAGTGTCTTTAAGATCTGATTTAGTTGCAGCGCATTATTATCAATGTTTAAAATCATAACAAAATCAGCGAGCTCTCAATTTGCGCCGTGTCACGCTTAGCGCCGCGTGAGGACGCGCTCTCACAAACGATCGAAAGAGTGTCATAAAGTTCAGCTGTACCCAGTGAAGTACATTCGCGTGATCTAGGATTGCTGTAGTAAACATATTGTGGTGTGCTGTATGAAAACAAGGGCTGATCTGTGTAGCGTAAAAAGCATATTAATGCAGAGCTGGTAACGCTAATTTGCTAAACGACTGTTATTAAAAAAGGACTGAGGCTCACGATTATTACATTAATACCTCATTCTTCGTACGGTACTCTTTCACACGGCAATGCAACTGAGATGTTCGTGCAAACTCAACTTGAATATAAATGTGAAGTTGCGACGATCATTTTTGCATTTATTCTCGAGCCTGCGCTCGTAAGTGCGTCTTAAGAAATTAAGGTGAAGAAAGTCGATTCGATACCTTGAATCGACATTCTTCACCATTCGTAATCAAATAGCTCGGAGAAAACAGGTAACATCACGGTTGTTTTTTGTCACCTTGCACATCACTGGCCAAGTCTTCAAATTTCTCCGAGTCTTTAAAATACATCAGACGAGTTTAGTGAATCACTGATGATGACATTTACACTGTTATGGAAGAGGAAGAAACCTCCGAACTGTCACGTCAGCGTCGTTCGAACTTTTGCGCATAGCGCCAAACCCATTTCCGGAACGAGGCACGAATCATGCGCTAACGCTAGTTGGTGATGACAGGCTTAGGAATAGCTCAACCACTTGTAATAAGCCTGTCATCACCAACAAGCTTGATAAGAAACAGCAACACTATCGAGGAAAAATTTATAGAGCTAGACGTCAATCTCAGACATAAGCTGTTGCTGGATCGCAATCGGACTATGATTTCAGCTTTAGATCGTTGGTGAGTTGTTGCGAAAGTTCGCAGGGCACATCTTGACTACTTAGCCCACATAACGCGAGGTTACGATGTCCGACGACATTTTTAGGTGAGATGCTCTTATAGAAAGATGCTTGAAGCCCGAAGCGACGAAGTTTTAAAAGTACTAAATCAATTTGACGGAAAAGGTACGTGGTGCCTCTGTGCCGACGCATAAAGCGATCCCGGTTGTTGTTTGCCCATATGGAAGAGATGCCGAGGATGAAAACTCTCTCTCTTTGAGAACATAGAGCACATCAGTTGCATGTGATGAGTGGCCTTCGATCGAGTGCTTCTAAGGTCGACGTTCAGCTATAGCGCAAGCTGCGCTATAAGATTGCCAAGCTTAAGGCAGAAGGTCAGCCATGTTTGCTGTAGTACGCAAAACCAGTTGCCATTAC